TTCTCCTAGGTGCCTATCACGCGTTGCGCGAGCAATGGCAGGGCTCAAGGTCACTCGCGGCAGAACTGACTTAATCACGCAGTGAGCTGTACGTTTTTTATTCCTTGAAAATGGGCTCGAGTGAGAGTTCGAAACGTCGTGCAACTAAAATACTGGCCCCGGAGAACGTTTTTCCACCTTCTATTCAATTGCCTGGACCTCACACATTTTTGACCATTGAGAATATTATTCCTGAAAGCCGGAGAACAGTGCTTCTTCTGCACTCAAACCGACTGATGAACACAATCTCCTAACTTTACCTCAAATATTCGCAGTCAGGTCAGAATTTGCATTAGAGCCAGGATTGTGTTGAGGTTTGGGTTCGCGTTAACTGTGTGGGGTTGAAATTTAGGACGAGGGCGAGGATTAAGGTTAAGGTTGCAGCTAAGTTTTATGTTGGGTTTAAGAGACAGAAAAACTTACCTTTCCTGAGGTTCATCGCAAGGCCACCATTTTTAGTGGGCGGGACGTTCCTATTCCCATGCCCATTAGGCAGCCATGAAAGTCATCTTTACCAGTTTTATTCCCCGGAGTGTCAGTTAAGGCAATTTTTGGGCCCATACAAAAATGCCAAAGCTGTTCACTCCGTAAGGAGTGTTATGTTGGGTGGCTTTAGATGGAATATCCTAACACTCTTTTGATGCTTTTGCGTACGGATAAGTGCGCCCACAAGGGCCTGAGGAACAGTATCTGTTGCACTACGGGTGATCGATAGGTGTCGATGACAGACCAATGGGTTGAGTGAAGAAATAAAAGGAACCAAAGTAACGTTGATGTAGGGGACAGGATAGACCCAGTAGTCCTATTTTTTCTTGCAGACTAGTTCCCGGGCGACTCATAGGAAGTAATCGTAAACAGAATACAACTGCAAACCCCAAGTTACAAAAATGGGGCTGCTGCAGGGATTCTTGAGAAAACATGCGCGTCGCCGATGAACTTTTTGTCCAATGTACTTTGCGCTGAAGAACG